TAAAGAGGTGCTTGTATATTTGCTGCCTTGGGTATTGATTTACGATAATAGTTTACCATTCCCAAAAATCTTCTGAGTTCTATAACTGTCGAAGGTTTTGGATAATTAATAATTTTCTCTACTCGGTCTGGTGAAGGAGAATATCCTGCAGCACTCAGTTTGTAACCGAGGAAGTTAACTTCATCTTTTCCAAAGGCACATTTCTCTAAGTTTATTGTAAGAGAATATTCCTGTAGCCTCTCAAAAACCAATTGAAGATGACGACGGTGCTCATTCATATCAGTCGACATTACCAGGATGTCGTCTATATAAATGAAAACAAAATTAAAATCTTGGAATATGTGATTGATAAACCTCTGGAATGTCTGGGCAGCGTTTTTGAGTCCAAATGGCATACGTAGATACTCGAAGAGTCCCCATGGTGTGATAATTGCAGTCTTTTGTATATCCTCTTCATGCATGGGTACTTGGTGGTAAGCTTTTTCTAAATCTATTGTAGAAAATACTTCTTTTTGATGAAGATTATTGAATACATCTTGTATTAATGGTGGAGGATACCTGTCGGGCAGCGTGTTTGCGTTCAGCCTCCTGTAGTCTCCACACATTCTGAATGTGCCATTCTTTTTGGGAACCATGTGAATAGGGCTTGCCCATGGACTGTTGGAAGGCCTCAAAATGCCCCTATTCAGGAGATCTTGTATCTCGGACCTGGCTGCAACAGCCTTTTCTCCGAAGATCTTCCTGAATCTGGAAGCTAATGGTGGACCTGTTGTGGTTATCCTGTGGGCAAAAAGAGATGATTTATTATTGGTGGTTACCTGTGGCTTTGTTATTGCGATGTATTGTGCCAGTAAATCCTTGAAGGGCTCTGCCGGGTTGACAGTGGAGATGTTAACTTGCTGTGCCTTGAGTACCTTTCCATCAGAGGTAAGGCCTGTAGTCGAATCAATCAATCTTCTACCCTTCAAGTCTATTAATAAATTGTAGTTGCTTAGGAAATCAGCTCCTATTATGGCTGTGGCTACATCGGCAACAACAAACTGCCAGCTAAAGCTTCTGCGTAAAGATAAATCCAGCTCCAGAGTTCTCTTTCCATACGTGGATATTCTGCTAGAGTTTGCTGCAAATAGAACTAACTCTTCCTTAGGATGACCATCGGCAAACTTCTGAGCTGGTAAAATGGATATAACTGATCCTGAATCTATAAGAAATTGGATTGCCGTCTTTCTGTCTGATATATGAAGACGGAGCTCAGAGCAGACAGAATTTACTTCACCGTCATGGCAAGCTCCACTTAATGACGGTGAAGTAAGTTTTTTGACTGGTTTAGAGATTTAAGCAGGCAGGGCTCTTCACACTTTGTGGCCTTCTCCCCATATCTGTAATGATAGTAGCAAACCGATCCACGTGAAGGTGTCCTGGACCTATGTCGAGAACCACTTCTAGAACTTGACTGATTGAGTTGTTCACTTCTTGATCTTGACTGGTTGAGTTGTGATTCTTGCTGATCATTTCTCTGTCTTTCAGTGTTCAACATTGCCTTTAGTTCCTTGATTTCCTGGACGCATGACATAAGAAGAGTTTCGTGGCGGTCCAGTCTCTGTTCTACTGAAGACTTGTGTGTTGTGGACATCACATGTGATGTGGGGCTACAGTGATCGACTAAAATATCGGCAACTTCCGCCAGGGCTTCCGGACCAAGATGGCGAGAAACTATTAATTGTGGCCGAATATGGTGTGGCAGGCGTTCTGACCACAATTTAATTATGATGTCTTCACTGACCTCTCCCTTAGCCAAATTCATCATTTCTCGTAGGAGCTGTGATGGTTTCTTCTCTCCTAGAGTTAAGTTTTTTAATAGCTTGTCAATTTGCTTACCTCTAGATTCAGACATTCTGCTTAATATAGTGTTTTTGATATATTCGTATTTGCCTGTCATTGGTGGATTACGGAGGACATCCTGGATGAGGCGCAGTGTCTCGAAGTCTAGGGCTTTGAGTACTGCTGTGTACTTAGTATTGTCACTCCTGATCCTAGCAGACTGAAACTCATGTTCAATAACTAAAAACCATAAGTCTGGAGAATCTCCATTGAATGGAGTGAGACGGTGATTGTTAAATGCTGCTATATTGTATTGATCAGCATAACTGTCATGTTCATGTTCAGAAACACGAGGACTGCTCGTGTTAAAGATCGCCTCGTGATCCAGATCGATCAGAGATCTGTTGAGCGCTGTTTCGTCATTGACGGACGTAGATCGAGTCGACATGTTGATAAAAATTGGTATAATTTACCTTTATTAATTTACTTGTATTTGACAAGTGTTTTTCTTTCTCCGTCTGACGTCACCAATTATGGGTACTAAGACGTTGAGAATGTCTCTTGCTTAATGATTTCACTTACACGTTCGGAGTCACCAATTATGGCGCTGGTGGGCCATATATTATTAATTAATTAATTCTTGAATGAAATCGCAATAATTTTATTTCAACTCGATAATGACTGTTTATTAATGTCTCAATTGATAAAGATGTTGATATTACATTAAATCAAATCTAAATTTCGATCACGAGAAAACGCTCGTTGGCAAAAAACTCGATACAATATTTTCGATCGTTTTAAAAAGCGCGACAATAATATTCGATCGTATAAAAACAATCAGATCGTTATAGCTTGCTTGATGCCAGATCCGAATCAACGTAGCCCAATATAATTTAGTTTTATCATCAATTGACGTTATTCAACTGACATCTGTCATATGGTGTTCATTCCGCCATTGTCATCAATTGACGTCCTTCAACTTCATATGGTGTTCATTCCGCCATATATCGTCACAAATTGACGGAGGTATGTTTCTGCTTCCAAACATGCAGTAATAAAAGGTAGAATGCATACATTCCTCGTATATGATCATATAATTTTCTAGTATGAAATTTAAACAAAATGTAATTGATTTATTAATAAGTGATTTTAATGTGCGATGTAAGTGATCGATAAAAGTCGAGGCATCCAGGTCGCATCATCTACGTTACAAACGCCGTTATTTGAAATGCCTTATATTGTACTTAATACACATATGCAAACACCGAATAAATATGAGCTTTTGTAATACTCACTTGAAATGATGTGAATTCTAAAATGTGCTTTAGTGGTAAATCAAACTTTAGAGGTAAATGTCATGCTTTTGTTAACTTAGGAGGATAAGTTATAGTAATAGCAAACAAATCGAAAATGAAATTGTTTATATATCTTTACGTTTCAGAGGTTTCTGAACATTTTGGCATACCTTAGAAAAATTGGATGTATGTGTGTGTGTGTGCGCGGATACAAATTTTCGTCGACGATTTCGCGAACACGGATCAACCGATTTGAATAATTCATAAAACATTCAATTGCAAAAAGTGCTAAAAATGGCATTTCAGTTTTTGAGATAACGGAGCGTCCGATTCAAATGACACAAAAAATTCAAATTTGTGTTGACGAAATAAAAAACTGATAAAATTTTGGGGAAGCACGGCTAGCAGTTTCGGAGATCCAGTAAAAAATGTAAAAAAATACCATTTGGCGATCAAAATAAATGATCATTAGACAAATGCACAAAAAATTATCAGATATTTTATAGAAAAATGTAATAAGAACAAGTTTTGTTTATATTTCTATGGGTTCTTAGACTGGAACGCGGCGCTTACGCGCTTAGATATTTCGTTTCTACGCAGCTAACGCAACGCGATTTCTTTGAAAAAAAAGTTCAAAATTTCCAAAATATAGAAAAAACTTTCAAAATTCTCAAAAATCTGATTTTTTAAAAGTTTTAAAAAAATGTTGAACCTTTTTTAACTTCCCGTAGGGTAGTTATAGTAATGGGTCGAAAATCTAAAATATTTTCTTTGCATATCTTCACGTTTTGAAGGTTTCTGAACATTTTGGCACACCTCAGAAAAAATGGATATGTGTGAGTGTGTGTGTTTTGTATGTCCGCATTTTTTCGGCCACGTTTTCGATCAGCCGATTTGAATGGTTCAAAAAACATTCGATTCCTATTGATAGGGAGATGTGCTGATTAGTTTTTGGCAAAAGCAGGTCCAGCAGTTACGGAGAGACGGAGCAAAGAGTGCTGAAAATAGAAATCGAGTTTTTGAGAGAACGGAGCATCCGATTTGAATGATCTAAAAAACATTCAATTTAAATTGATTGAAATTGAATCATTATACAATTGTAATGATTGATAGAAGTGGTGATCAGTTTTTGGCAAAGGCAGGTCCAGCCATTTAGAAGATACAGAGCTAAATGTAATGGCAGTTTTTAAGAGAAATAATCATCCGATTTGAATGATTCAAAAAACTTTCTGCTTGCGCTTACGAAATAAATGCAAAAGCATTTTTCATTTCAATTTTTTTCTCATTATTTTTTCTTTGAATATCGAAAATATTTTGGATTTCAATTTTAATCCTGGTTAAAGTTCTAAAGCTTAGTTATATACTTTAAGTGAATAATTTTAACTTTAAAAACACAATTTTTTTCAAAAATTTAAAATTTCTCAAGAATCTAATTTTTTCAAAGATTGAAAAAAAATAATCTTTTTAAAAAAAAACTTTTTACGAGAAGTTCCAGCAATTTGCCTTAAGACACGATGCCACACATCACTAGTTAAAAATTTGCCTTAAGGCACAATGGCTATACACCACTAGTTCTACTTACCACTAGTTAGCATTTATAAATGCTACTACCACTAGTTAGCATTTATAAATGCTAATATAATTCTTCATGAACGAGTTCAAGGTAATTTTTAATTAAAATGATACTAATATAATTAATATCATATTATAGCTTCAAAAGCGTTGTATTTTAAATATATTTTCATTTCACGAAATTCATAAAAAGTATTCATACAAAACTGAAAACGCATTTAAAGAGTCATGCATAATTGATTTTTTTCTACTGCAATCCATTCGGTTCCCACGGGAGTTCAATTCAATCTTCATGTTCTTTTTTTGTTGTGTGTGGGATGCTGTTTCAAGATGGCGCATGTTGAGGTTGTGTTCAGGTTCATGTACATCAACCTTACATGAAAAATAATAGAAATATGACGCTGTGAAAAACAAATTGAGTGTTTGTGTTTGTGGAAAGATACGAAAAGTTTGTGACTATGTTTGGATAACGACTAGATTTTAGTAAGTATGATTTAGCTCAATCTTTATAATATATGCAAGGTGTCAAGTGAATATGTCAACAAGAGAGGAGATACAATTATTAATTGAATTTATGTATGATTCATTTTAAAGTACAATCAGTATATTGTTATTCATTATTATTAATGTTAGTTTATATATATATATATATATATATATATATAATTATTATCAAGACTAATAATAATAAATGTAGTGACTAATTCATCAAAGAGTCTGAGACAGGCTATATGCACATATAATAATGAATATGTACTCATAATAATGATAGATTCTATTAGAGACTTTTATATATACATATATATGTATTTGCAAAACAAAATGAACAGCAGTGTCATTTCGGGTCAGATTGACCTCAAAATATTTTAAACAGGGTTTATTATGACTTTACAAGCCAAAACATTAAATTTACTATCAGTCACACATACACACACACACATATACATATATATATATATATATATATATATATATTCCACTGTACATAATGATTTACCTAACTCAGAGGCTCATTCTGGTGTAATATGTTTGCCATACATTAGAGACTTTTTTATAAATCTGGACTCTGACTTGTAAATAATTTTACTACATCGACTTGTACTATTTTTACCAAAACAAAAACCCCATCTAATATCCAACAACTTATAAATCTCGTATATCAAATAAATTATCCAGATAGTAATTTAATTTACATAGGAGAAACATGCCAGAACTTAATTAAACATTTACAATCCCAGACAATTTAAAACTATGTTTGTGGACCACATTAATACTTTAAAACACAATATGGACTTTTCTTACCCGACTGTACTACAATTCGAACAAAATTGATTTAAACGAAGAATTATAGAAGGATCATTTTTAACTATTTATAACAATAAGACAATAAATAAAAGGAATGAACTTAACATGCTGTGTGACACAAATCTCTTTTCTTTAGATAGCATTTCTAAAAGTTTCACACAAAACAATAAAAAAGTCACCCAAAGGATTTGCAATTCATTCCACACATGTGTACAATCTTGGTAAAAATATTTTTAAAAAGTCTTATCTCCATGAAGTCTTCAATGCACAACACATATATTACCCACTATCTATTTATGATTTTTTTAAATTAATATTATGCGAATGTTTAATTACAATTTTAATGTTTATATTACATAGTGTAGTGCATTATCATATCCTGATACCATGCATTATTAAAATCTTCTAATTTAACACTAAGATTAACTAATTGTAAGTACATTTACTCTTTTTATTATTTTTTTCACTCCAATTTAATTGCTTTAGTTTTTAATTTTATTTTTAGTTTCCACTGAATGAAGGCTAAGATTATAACCGAAACATGCATGTAAAATAAATATTTGAAAGAAATTCATGTTTTTTATTGATGTTATGACCAATTACTAGACTTTTTAATACATATGTCAACATCAAATTCAGAATCATACAAAATATATATTTATATATATATATGTATGTATGTATGTATGTATTTAAGCCATATAATTTACAAACATTTTGTAACAGACAAACATACTTTTTTACCTGTTATCTATAACATATAATTTATTTTACAATGTACAAATACAAACAGGTGAATAATGAACAGTATATTATAATATTATTCCGAACTAACTTTAATCAATTATTGAGAAATATATACATCTGTCTGGAACCTACTCATACTTTATTAGTAGGGCGTGCAGTTTTATTATCTGTATAAAATTGTCATTCACTATTTATATTATTGATATTTTTTATAGCTATGTCTCACCATGCTGTTGTGGTATGGGAATGGGAGCTCAGAGAAGGCAGATGGAGGCCCTACAGTCCAGAAGTATCGCAGCATTTAGAGAGAGCCAATGTAAAACGTTTAACTCGAGTTATATTATCTGATGCTGATCCTTCTTTGCATAGTTATGTTAATTTACGGACAAAGACTCAATGTCAAGATGAAGGAGGTAAGGGTTTTTTAATGTAAAAATTGTTTGTTGTGTACTTCAAAAACTGTAGATATTTTTTTTAAATATATAAAGAATTATCAAATGATCATAAAATTAAATGCTCTAGAAAGATTATGTCCTTGCGAAGAATTGCAACAATAAATCTATATAATAATTTGATTAGAAAAAAATATCTATATAATGATTTAGCAACTGCATACGGAAAAAAAAACAATATTATTATCCATTACTTGTAACATAACAGAAGTGTTTACTTCACAAATCTATTATCATCACATGAAATGTAAGATACCTGATTTATTTCAAATTTAACACTGAAATCATTTAAAAAATCTTTCATTCTCATGCAAATTCTCATAAACATTTTTTTTATACTAAATAAATTGAGTAATGATACAACGAATGTTAAAGTGTGCAAAATAGTAAAGTATGTATAATTATATAGGTTTTGTAGTCATTTATTCAATTTTATCCTATATTAGTTATAGTATATCATATATTGAAATTATGAAGATGAAAAAAAGTTGTTTACATGTAAGTTACATGCAAGATTATCATCATTTAGCTTTTGTAACTTAAGTTGGATGAAATTATTTGTAACATGTTTTAAAATTATGATAATGTAAATAATATATATTAATAATTTCAGATTTGTCACCTTTAAAAGTAAGAAGGAAATGCTATCATCAAAACTCACCTGCTGGTAAAGGTGTTAAATGGGAATGGGGTGGTGGCGAGGGTGGATCGGAATGGCTAACTCATGACATGGAGGTTCAGTGCCTTATTGAAGAATCCTGGGCTAGTGTAAGTAATTTTATTTATTTTTCATAGCAAAAAATGTTTAGTGTAACTGGTTGATTTATTTGTACTATACATATTTCTGGTTAAAGTATGTATGTCTTCATGACAAATTGTGTACAGTAATTTTTTTTTCAAATTCAATCTACTACAAAAATGGAATAAGGTTATTATGGCACTCATTTATTTTTTTTTTTTAATGGGATTTTTGGTTTTAGGGAGAACAAACTATTGACATGAGTTTGACCTATCTATGTCTTCCATATGTTATCAATTTTTACAACTTAACACAAATTAGTGGAAGCTCTGGTGCTGTTCGAAATATTAGAAGAGTCCAGCAGGCACCTTATCCATTAGTTAAAGTTACATTGGAGGAATTGAATGGTTTCACAGGTAATTGACATACAAATGTATTATTAAACTCACTAGCACAAAATAATCATGGTCTATATACAAAATTTTTCAAAAATGAATTTATTACCAATAATTTTTTCTATAGTAATATTTTATTCTGCAGGTGATGATAACAATCTTAAGCCATCTATAGCTAATCGGCCACAGCTGCCGTTACCAGCGCCCAGAAAAAATCAGTCTTCTCAAAAATTGAGTTCTAACAATAATACTCTATCATGTACAACCAAAAAACACAAAGGGAAAACGAAAAATCTCAACAGTGAAACTACTCCAGCAAACTTAGCTAGAGCAATTTTAAATAATCTGAATATATTCAGTAAGTTATCGTGTATCATAGTATTTCGGATTAATATGAATATGAATTAATTTTAGTTTTAATGTGCATCTTTTTCATAAACCAGTTCTGTTATTAGTTGTTAATTTTTATTTAGCAATTTACATGGAATGATATTAATATAATAGTTAATCATTTTGTATTTAATAATACTTTTGTTAAAGCTTATGATCATTCAAATAATTGTTGTTACAAATCTTTTGTTTAATGCTTTATTAAGATTTTTAACTATTTTATTATTATAATTCACTTAATATTATATTATTATTATTGATTATATCAGACTTGTGCAAAAGATACATTACTTCACAATATCATGTAAATGAATCTTTTTTTTTTTAAGAAGTTTATAATTATTCTTTTTTCTTTTACAGGTCATAAGCCAAATACTTCTTCAAACTCCCAAAGCAATCAAACCCAGTTTTTAAAACATGTACAAAATTCTAATATAGGACATAGTAACTCTAATAATAAACAATACTCATCGCAAAGGCAGCAAAATGCTAACATGCACATATTAAATACTAGACGATCTATGAAAAATCATTCTGAGTATCCAGTTATACAAAATTCCAAAAATATCTTAACCAAGTCTTCCATTAATGTAAGTTCAAGAAATTCAAGCAATAATGAACACTCAAGAAACAATCAAGTACTGATTTCCCAACATCAAAATTCAAGAAACAAAACTTCATCGCCGATTTTCCAGCAGAATAGCTTATCATCAAATTTACAAAACATGAGCCATATAAATAGATCATATGTTGGAAGCACAGCTTCTATGTCACAGAGTTCTAGAAATAGTTCCAGACATTTGGAGTCAGTATTAGATGTTGATTCAAGCAGTATTAAAAGTGGCAGAAGACCAAGTGTTGATACAGTTTCCACTTATTTAAGCCATGAAAGTAAAGGAAGCCAGGTATATAGACATTTTTTATTATATTTATTTATTGTTTATGATTATGTTTGGAATATCAAGTTAATTATAGTCAAAACATTCCTGGAAATATTTGTCCTTATACATTTTTTTTATTACAATGTCTGTTACAACTGCTAAATAATATAACATCTAGTAACATAAGTGAATAACATAAATATAAATAAAATAGAGTACATAGTAAAGGATAGTATTTTCATTAAAATGTTATCCGTATCATGATGATTTAATTTGAAATAAAAGCAAATGATAATAATAAAATTAATAAATAAATTAAACAAAATTTATGAATAATAAAAATAATACTAGAAAATAATAGAGTAGAATAATAATACATGATTTATAATATTTATGGTATTAGCCTATTTTATTATATTTTGTTTTGATTAATAAATATAATGTACTTTTATAATACCATAGGGTGCATCTGTAACCGATTTACTAGATTGCAGTATTGGTAGTGATGAAGTTTTTGAATGTCTAAATTCACCTAGGAGAAGAATGGGTATTGCCGGGTCTATTGTTGGTATGCACAATTTTATTTTAATTATTATTATTACCATACAACCAACCTCAAAACTTTGACTCACTTTAAAAAGCTGATCAAATTAATTTTTAGCTTAATTTTTTTATTAAATTTGATTTCAATAAATATTTTGTTTGATTTTATTATTAGGTGTTGATGCAGCTAGTGATGTTATATCTCGTTATGTTCGAGTGGTGGATCCACCAACTTGGCCGGGAAGACCACCTTGTCCAGTTTGTTTATTAGATATGTCTTCTAATAACAATCCTTCTCTTGATTGTCAAATGTCAGGAATACTTGAAAATAACCATCATCAAGATGATTTGATAGTATCCTTGACCAGATGTGCTCATGCAATGCATCTTGGTTGTTTGAATCAAGTTATAAGTCAACAAAATTCAGAGAAGGTGATTAACATGACAATTTACATAAACGAAAAAATGTTTTTATATTTATAAAAAATTTATTTATCTTATTAATACTACCAATTACTTATATAAATTTCTATCCCTTCCAATTTTACCAAAATTAGTATACAAAACATCTGATATGTTAATTTTTTTCATATTTTTTATTTTTATGGGAATGATTTTTTTCAGGGTCTTTATTTGGAATGCCCATTATGTTTAACTGTTTATGGACATAAAATTGGCAACCAACCACCTGGTTCTATGAACTGGACAGTCATACCTAGGTCGTTACCTGGACATCCTGATAGCAAAACTTTACAGCTCACATACAAGTTAGTAATAATTATTTGTATGCAGTTTGTTTGTTTGTGCACGTAGTGTTTACATGTAATTTGTAATTCTAATATTTCATATAATTATTTTTTTATACATATTTTATGCTTTGTGCTATAGTTATGCTAGAATTTGTTAACTTGATTTATTTAATTTAAATAAATCAATTGTTACTTTTTGCTAAATATAAAATGTGTGTTAAGTATTTTTATTGTGTACAGTATTGCATCTGGCATGCAAGGATCAGATCAGCCAAATCCCGGACAACCATATTTTGCAGTTGGATTTCCAAGAGTTTGTTATCTTCCTGATAATGCACAAGGAAGAAGGGTAAGTGTTGATGTTTTTGTATTTAGATTAGATGTTTTTAATCAATGGTTTTATTTAAAATCATTTGGATATAATAAGAGGTACTTGAAAATAAAAACAGTCAAAAAAAGCTTCTGGGTTTGTGTCATAAGTAGGCTTCACAAAAAAAAAATTTTAGTGGTATTATAATCTTTTCTGTTCTAGGTTCTTCGACTGTTGACCATAGCTTGGGAAAGGCGTCTTGTATTTACAATTGGTAAGTAACTTTGAAATTATTAATAAATATTTACAATAACCAATGATAAATATAACAATTATGTTAATTGTAATTGTCGAAATTACATATTATATATGTGATTATTGTATAAATAAATATAATTATTTTTGTATAACGTTTAATTTTTTTACAGGACGATCTTTGACAACTGGAAGAGAAGATGTTGTTGCCTGGAATGGTTTGACACACAAGACTGAAATAGGACCTAGCATAACAGGTGCAGGATACCCCGACACTGGCTATTTAGATAGGCTTGTTACTGAATTGCTTCATTTGGGTATAACTGATTCTCCAGATGAATTGCCTAATGTTTACCAGGAATTGTGTTAAGTATTTTTATATTTATATAAAACAATTGACTCAAATATTATAAAGTCTGATATTTGGAGCGGATAAAAAACAACTTGCTGGAAGTTACTGAGCAAGAAAATTCTCCTTACTGAGCTTTGTAACAATTTTATTGTCCTTGATTTTGATTCTCTCAATTTCGCATTTTATTTTGATAGAATTATGCTGCATTTATTTCTCTGGCAAATGTGCAACAAAGGTTTTATGTTGTTAATCATGATAAAAAGATATCTGATAATTTAGAAAGATTTTATTTTATACATTTGAAAAATATGATATATTAAATGTTATTTATAATAGATCAAATTATAATTTGATATTTATATTTTTACCAATTGAATATATAAGTATATAAAGTAAATATAAATAGTAAAATTACATTATATTTGTCAGATATAGTTATTGGCCATGTAATGTTTGACAATATCGTAGAATAGATATATTAATCTTGCATAATGTAACTGCTAAATGATAATTCTCTTATAAGAAATTGAATTATTTAAAAAAAAAGACAAATCGAAAACAATAACATTAGGCATAAAACTTAGCTTTAATATAGTGAATTAAAATTTTAGTCCATACATATATAATATCAGAACGCAATATCTACATATATAGTATGCAATACTAAAACATATAAAAATTTCATTTAAATAGACCTGTATAATCATATATATATATATATATATATATATATATATATATATAAATCTGCATATCTGTGTGTGTGTGTGCGGAGAGACATAGAGAAGAGAGACTTAGTCAAGAAAATGTAAAAGACTAAAATTGACTAAACATTTGTGATGATTTTAATTCATGCATTGCCAATATATAGTACGTTTCACTGTGAAAATACTGTCTTCCTAAATATAACATAAAAGTATATTTATAAATATATATTTTAGAAATAATTTTGCTTACAAATATTTTTAACATAGCTTACAATTTCTGATAAAGAAAAAATAATAGAGTTAGAAAGACATATATAAAAGTAATGATATTTTTGTTCATATTAGAGCTTTTATAAAAATTTAGAATTTATTTAACAAAGCTAAAATGACAAATTATTTAATAGTTATCATGAGCCATTATAATTATTATTGTGACTTTTTTTTATCTTAGTATTTAGATATTACCTACCAATTTTATTATTTTATTTTCATTATATTCTATATTCAAGCATTTTAAATATTATATTTTAAGTTCCAAACATAATTATTTTATGAAAAAATATATATTTTAGGTTAATCAGAAATATAATAAAATAAATATGTAATATTTATTTATAAGCATTTACAAAAACAAACTTGCCTTGTCACCAATGATAGATAAATATTAACTAATAAACATTTATTAACCTTCACTCATCTTTTTTATGTGAAATATATTTTTACTGATGACGGAAACAAGTTATAAAACAAATTTTATATATATTACCATTCTTTTGTTTCATGCAAACTTCAACTTTTACAATTTCAAAAATTTTAGTTTTTGTACTATTTGTATTATTTAGTGAAAAGTTTATTAAAAGTTTTTAGCAATTATGGCAGACGTTAGATGTAAAGAAACGCCTAGACAAAACTCAAATAATATGGAGATTTCTGGGGCAGACAATTGTGGTGAAATGCAGGTGAACTTCAATACCCTTTTTTTAAAGTTGAATACCAGGTTAATAATAATCTTTAACAAATGAAGCAAACATATATGCATCAATCAATTTATATTGATTTATGTCAATAACAATATTTAAATATACATTTAAGCAATGTTGTTATTAATTCAAATATTGTATTCGTAGAATTATTTTATATATTTTATATATTTGTAGATGAATAATTCTTCATCATCACCCAACCAGAATCCTTTAGAAGAAGTATCAGAACGCTATTCGCAGCTGGAGAAACGAAGACAATCATTAGGCCTTAGTATGAAAGAATTACGTCAGCAAATTGCTGAAGAAAAGGAATTATGGAGAAAAGAAATTGATTTGATCCTTGCCAAGGGTAGGGAAAAGGATATTTCTACAGCTGCAGGTGAATAACTTATTATCGCGTCTAATAAATTCATCCGTAACACTGAGTAGTATTAATTTCTCAATAAAATTATTTAAACATTTACGTTAATTTTTGTGGATAATTTGTAATAAATCTGGATTTAGTACACAAAAAATAGATATAATCTAAGTGCGCATAAAATACATTGATTTTAAAATTATTTAGAAGATCAAGGCGATTTGCGGGTGCTCATAATCAAATAAGTAGTACCTTCTATAGTTCTCGCACTAAGAAACTATTTGGAAATTTTTGTTTTTAATTCAAACTTTTTCGGACATCCAAAAATTTCAGTATGTTCATTGAAGTTAAATTATTTTTAAATTTTCATTCAATTGTAACGCACGCGTAATTATTAATATTTGGGTTTTAAAACATTTTACTTATTTATTTTGGGGATTTTATGCGATTGAACAAATCATAGAAAGCAAAAAAATCTAGCTTCTCATATTAATAAACATAAAACTGGTACTACATATTAAATTATTTTAATATAATTTTTCATTATTGAAAATCCTAATTGCAAAATTGATATCATAAAAGCCGAATTGTATGTATTCATCTATACTTTCCCATCGTGTATCAGATTGTTGTTTTAAAGTTTAAAAAATTGTCCAAGATAAGTAAAAGATGCAAAAAAGTTATATATCTTTTGAATAATATTGAAAAAACTATATTATAAATTTCATATCCGAATCTCGTTTTGGCGCCCCCTAAGGCGTGCGCATGCATTTTTTGCATGCTTCACATTCAAGGTAGGACCGGCCCTGATCACAAGTACAAGTCTGAAAGATACCAATTGCAAATTGCAGTTTTTAGTGCAAGCGAAAATTTTTATTGATTAACGCTTTGGAAACCGTGTTTTACTTATGGGAACCATACAAAAATCAAACATCCCGTAATGTAGGTGCATTGTGACCACCGGTGGCATGCGGTCTTCAAAGTGTTTAGTCGAATATTTAATAGCTTATTGGAAAGTTTATGCAAAAATTTCTTGTGTTAAAGCAAAATGCTACTTATAAATACATATTAATTTACGTGTTTATCAAAAGTTATATTATATAAATCATTGCTTTATCAACATAAAATTCATTTTATAGAATCCGACATCGGAATGCCGAGCTCAAGTCACCAAATAGATTCAGCGTTTTATAAAACACAAATAAGTAAAATTGATTATCCAATATCAACTAACAAGTTTATCAATTCCATACCGCCTAACGCTGATCTACAGGAAGTTCCTACTAAGGAACGATCTGCACCATATGAAGTTCCACTTGACGATAATATTATTAGGTACAACACATCATTATAAAACTAAAATCATGATTTATATTATAGTAATACACATTTAATTAATTTATTAAACTAATTGCAGAGATTATGAAACAAAAATATCAAGATATCAAGAAATATTAGCAGCAACGCAAGCTGAAAACAAAAATTGTATGAAAAAGCAACTGGTCGCAAACGCATTTAGAAGAAGATTGCAAGAAGTTGAAAACATGTGTACGGTCGAATTAATGAGAGTTCGACAAAATATTTCGGTATATTATTATATTTTCATTTGCATTTATCGTTTAATTTAAAATATTTAAAGTTATAAAGCAAAAATATATAAAATCAGAACACGTATTATTTTGGTAACCAAATGAGGGGTATAATTGATGAGGTTTGATGTAAATTTACCCGATTAAAATTACTTAAGGGGGTTGTTCTTTTTTTGTTACAAAAAAAGCAAGATATTTGTTTTTGTTTTTCTCGAAATGTATATTCGAGATATGTGAGATATGCGGTTTTTTTTAAACAAAAATTACAAAATCATAGAATATTACGTGATTTTTTTCCTTTTTTTGCGCCGTCATTTTTTAACCAGGGGGCGCCAAAGTCGGTCTTGCAAAATCGATCTCTTTTGCGGTGCCACAGATAAATCCGTTGCGCATCGCCCGAAACAAAAAAAAAAGAAACTACGTTGAAGAAGAAGTTTGAATCCAGTCCCCCTACCAAAATGAAAGAAATAAAGCAAGAAGGAAAAAAATGGCAGCTATTTTAAAAAAAAGTGTTAAAAAAGGCCTTGTTATTGGGACAAAAAGCTTCGCAAAAATTTTTGAGTTATGTTATCAAGTTATTTGAGGTAGGGGGACTAGGTATTGCAGTGGTGAACAAAATTAAAAAAAATGCAAGTCGATCCGACTTGTAGTTTTTTTATATTTGTGGCACCGCATTGAAAAAAGTCATTTTGAGAGAAACATATTTAAAGTTTTTAATATAATGTACTAAATACACCATTTAATTTATTGTACTAAATACACCATGGTGTTCAAAGAAGCTGATACATTGAAAAGGTCATGTGCATGAGGTATTAATGAAAAAGAGAGCAGCTGGCATACAATAGCTCGCGGAGCAATGAAAAAAACGGTTTCAGAGGATCATACATATAGAGATATATATATCTATAACTTCGTCAAAAAAATAGATATTGAGATGATTTTTTTTTAAATAATTCTAAGGTTTTTAGCTTTCATAATATCAAAAAACCTCAAAATCGAAAAAAAAATAAATAAAAAAAGAACAGCCCCCTTAAATTTATTATAATATTAATATTATAACTTAAGTTATAAAGCAAAAATATATGGTGAATCAGAATACTAAATTCAGAACACGTATCATTTTGGTAACCAAATGAGGGGTATAATTGATGAGGTTTGATGTAAATTTGCCCCGATTAAAATTACTTAAAAGATAATAATATCTGTTTTAGAGCAAATGCTAATATAATTTGAGCAATTGTGCCTGGTTCCGCAAAACTTGAAGTCGTAATGCTTGATATTGTACTTCTAAATTGTAATATATTTTCTATAACAACAAATTGTTAAAATTACAAACTTTCTTAATATTATATGCTAAATAATAGAGCAGAGTTGTGGAAAGTTTATGAAAAGCATTATAATAAGTTCTTGATCTGAACTACTTACAATGTACGAATTAATTGAATTATTTTTATTTTCTAGGCATTACAACCATTACAAAACTTATTAAGTAGCGATTGGTCCGCATATAATCAAGACGTGGATGGTTCAATATCAGAACAAATAGATGATATTTGCGGTTTACCAGACAGGGTAAGTATGAACCAATAATTGTCTTAAAAGTTTAATCGGGATGACAGATTTATTTACTAAATTAAAACGTTTAATTATAACTAATATGCGTCATTTAAATATTTAAAATTATTTTGAATATACATTTTCATAATTTTTGCAACTGTAATAGTAATTGTTTTTTATTTTCAGGACATATTTGCAAATGCGATTCCAAACACTGATAGATCTGTAGAGTTTCAGTGCTCGGATAACTTAGAAAATGCGAAAGGAAATAATTCAACATACTCATCTAATGAAGGTTCACTGTCCGATGAAGAAAATAACCGATCCATAGATATCACAATCGATCAGTGAATATGAAAATTTGTAAGTGGTTACATTAATTAAATTCATTTTTTTTTATTTTGAGGTTCTGTTTTGTTTTATTTTCAATAAATTTAACATGTCATTGTATATGTAAAAAATATTTATTTAAATTAACAGAGACTTTACATATAAATAAAATGAGGTCTGAATACTATTTCCATGTTACTCTCTATGTATTAGCACATATAATCCGAGACAGGCCAGCACAGCATACTAGAAGAAAATAAAACAATTCAAAATGTAAAAATTTAAAACTATGTTACCAATTTAGAAAATTTAATATTGTATAATTACCTTAAATTTAGGATATTCATTCATGTATATCGTAACCATGCCAACATAAGGTAAAAATCCTCTAGCTCTTCCGACAACATCATTTTTTGTTAACCACAATTGGCCAGGGGCATATAACCCTCGATCATCTACACTATTATTGTCACCCTTGGTTAAAAATTTAACAGTACCGTTGTTCCTAGGGGGATAAAATAAGCAGGTTATAATTTTTGTAAATAACAATATTAGGAATCATACTGGAATTTTTACAGAATTTGTGGAGCAAGCTAGATAATGATCAAATTAATGTTTACGCCTCATTTCTTTAGGATATGTTCATATCTCATTATACACGTTCATTATTAAATAAAAAGATTATGAAATATGATTATAAACATTAGGAAACGAATTACAATAATGACAATTTTCAATCTTCTATTTCAGTTAATTTTTACTGGTGCTATTATAGGCTTGCTTCATTAAGTTTCAGAATTACCTTCAATAGTTGTAATTATAAAATATATTTATAAAGCCCATAAATTGGTAAAAATTGCATCCGAGTAAGCAATTTTAAACAGATTATTTACTCACTTAATGCATTCACTAATTATATGGAATACTATTAGTTAGATTAGAAGTAGTTTATGAACAAATGATTTGTTTCATATAGGAGTGGCTTGCTGCACAACAAAATGCTGCAAAAATTGACAGTAGGCTCGAAACAACATTAATAAATTTAGTATGCGTACTTTTCATGAACTTTGAGCACTCGATGTACAATAGGAATGTCCCTTCCATCAATTTTGAAGACAACAATCTCTCCAACCCTTACGGGTTCTTCAGGGTAATTTGTCAAAAATAATAAATCACCCCTGTGGAATGCTGGTTCCATACTACCAGACAAAACAACAACAATAGGACTTTCACTCCCGGTCACCACCATTAATCCTTTCCATATCATAAGAGCAGAGGAAACAATCATACCAAAACTTAATACTTGGTATAGAAACTGTAAAAAATAAGAATTTTATCATAACCCATATTGAATGGGTTTATTGGCACATAAAATTCTACAAACCTGCCGCTTATTCATTCGTTTAACATCATCAAATAGGCTTTCCATTTTGGTTAAAAATTATATTAACTTATTTAATGAACAGCAACTGTTCAAAATTTAAAAACAAATTATATATGACAATTATTTTGCCGATACGAGTCGGCAAATTGTAGAAAACAAACCACGTCAGTTCAATTTTGAGTTAATGCTATGTAGAAAATTTACCGACGTGACATCTTCCGACAAATTGTAGAGCTAAAGTGAAGAACCTCATAGAATTCGATATAGAATTGTCTTGAATCCATCTAAATTGAAAATTGTGCAATAAAGTGAATATTCACTTTTTTCCATAAATTAAGTTCTAAACATTCACTTTTTAGAAATTATAATTTCTATATAGTTATAGAATGCATCAATTTTGTTCAATTAAACATAAAACTCTAGTGATGCATGGCATCGTGCCTTAAGGCAAATTGATGGAACCTCCCGTACCGAAAACTAAATTATTTAAAAAAACTTTGCAAAACTTTGAAAAAAATAGATTTTCAGAAATTTTGAAATTTTTGATAAAAATTGATTTAATGAAAAATTTAATTTTGATTTTCTTTTACATTTTGATTTTTTTTGAAAATTTTGAACATTTTTTAAGCATTCGCGCTGCATAGCTAATTTGGAGTCGAAACGTCGATGCGCGTAAGCGCCGCATAGTCGTCTAACGTATAAACATTGGTACCCATATAAATGTACACAAAATTTGTACTTATTATTATAATCTTTATAAAATATCTAATAATACGATGTACATTTGTCTAATGTTCATTTCTGACCCCCAAATATTTTTATTTTTTACTTTTTTTATTGGATCTTCGGAGACGCTGGACCTTCCTTTACAAAAATTTCACCAGCTGTTTATTTTGTCAAGACAAGTAAAATGTTTTTTGAATTATTTAAATCGGCGCTCCGTTATATCAAAAACTAAAATACCATATTTGGCACTTTTTGCCCCGTATCTCCGAAACGGATAGACCTGCCTTTGCCAAATACTAATCAGCACGTCTCCTTATCAATACGAGTCGAATGTTTTTTTAATTATTCAAATCGCTTCATCCGTGTTCCCGAAATCGTCGACGAAAATTTGTATCCGAACACACATACATACACGCACACACACACACACATACACACACATATATCCATTTTTTCTAAGGTATGCCAAATGTTCAGAAGGTTTTGAAACGTAAAGATTTATAAAAAATTTCATTTTCGATTTTTTTGCCGATTACCATAATTTACCCTACGGGAAGTTAAAAACATTTCAAGTTTATGACGCGTGCGCTTTGAATTTATAACGTGTTGAATATATTAATTGGAAATTGCAATTTGCATTAACTAGATTCCAATAAAAATCGAAATCTTGTCTTTCAAAATAAACAGTTAAAAAATGTATCGTCACTATTTTAAAAGTAGCTAAATCTCAATTCTTATTAATGAATGAATTAATCAGTTATCTTCTCAACATTTTGGAATTTTATGCAACTTGCCGTAAAAATAAACGTCATTTAAGCAAGCATATATACTATAGTTTCAAATATATTTTGTCAAATGTTTGATTGAGCAGTAATTAAGTGTAGGTCGTAATTAGTTAGAACAGGGCTTTTTAAACTTTTGTCCTTCGAGACCCCATTTACGATTGCAAACTTCTTGGCGACCCCATTTATGACTGCGAGTGTCTTGATGACCCCACAGATATAAAACAATAAATTAATATTTTTAAATAATTTATATATTTGGTAACAATATACATATACATATGAAAGTAAATATCCATGTAAAAATCTGTAAAAAGGCAAGAAAAAAAGGCTTATTTATATATTTATTTATTATACATATCATATACATATACATATGAAACTATATAGTTTAAGAATTTGTTGAGAACATATAAAAATCAAGATGTGATGTTATAAAACGATATGAATATTTGACATTAAAATCAGTTGCAACCCGAGATACTTTCCCCGCGACCCCATTTGTGGTCGCGACCCATAGCTTAAGAAACCCTGTGTTAGAGTAATTATTCGTAAAAAGTTTTAGAACAATTGGAAGCTTATGAAATATAACATTTGAGAAATGGTTTAGAACGCCACTAAATGGACATGTCGCCCACATCTCGTAGTCTATCTACGTACTAAAATTACGGTTTGCGTTTTGAAACTGTCAAAATAATAAAATGGCGACATGGTTCTAGTTAATTTGCACACCGCCAGGTGTAACGTCGAAGATTTCAGTTCGCGAATGGTTTCTATTGCGCAAGGAGGTGTTAACAATTTTTCTTTAAAAGAAAATAATATTCGTGGCAAAGTTTTATAAAATAATAAAAACATATTGAAAACAATCATTTTAAGGTGTTTAGTGTGTAATAAAAATACAGTTGTTGTGAAAGGACTTGGTTGTAGTTGTAGTTTTGAAAAAGTGGTTTAAAAACTGTAATATAAACACTCGAGGAATTTTCAAAATAATTATTTTTTACGTGATAAAATAACTTTGTTATATACAAATATGTGTTTTAGTATTTAAAATGTGGTTTTTAATATATTGAAAGAACGAATCAGTTTGCGAGTGAATCGTGTGCAATATTGAACAATAACAATACAACGTTTATATATATTGTTTTTCCAAGTTGTTTATTTTGATTTTATATACAAAGAACACATTATTATGAATTAGTGTTAATTTGGAATGCTACTTTGACGATTTTTCGCTATATGAACAGTTTCTGAGAAAGGTAAGTTTCACAATGTTCTTATTGTTTACTTTCTAAATGAGGTGTACTACTTGTCTTGCATGTCTTTATATGAAATTTTAATCTTTTGAATTGTATGCAACAATGTTATAGAATAATAATAATAATAATATTACATTAAATATTCATTTAAATATATAAATAACTGATCTTAACAATAAAAAAAATAATATTTATAATTTAATCTCGTGCGCGATAGTATTTTAAGTAACTCGAAGATTACTCCGAGACGATGAATATTGCTGATTTATATAAAAGCGAAAATAATAGTCAATGAATTAATGAAATTACCTGCATAGACGATGATCGTGAGTTGAAAAAAATTAGTATTATTATTTAGCAAAAAATACTACAAAAAATTATCAGGTCTGCCAAAAAATATTTAAAAAAATTAAGCGAGAAATCTCCTACTCGAAGATTGAAAAAAAATGGCCATACGACCTTAAATGAAATGTCAAAAAATAAAAAAGAGATATCTCATAGGAGATAATTTCTTTAAATGCATTTACACACAGCATATTGTCTTAAAAAATTATGTTATTTTGATCGGCAATAAATCTATGCAAATAAAAAAAGTATTATTTAAAGTCAACCTTTTTCTTAATTATATATTATATACTTGGTAATGAATAGTTTAATTATTGTTAAATCTATAAACATATGTAAATATATATGTGTTATATCTCATACCTATAGAAAGTATTTTTGTCTTATATTTTCTCTAAACGCTTTTATGAAACTTGAATTTTTGGTGAGAATAATTTATGGTAGTTTAACCACGTGACACCAAAATTTTTGTAAATCATAACGCACATGTTCTCAAATTTTAAAAAAAAGTATAGGTATATATTTTTTTTTTATAAATCACAATCTATCTATATAGAAAGACATTGAGTAATTAATTTGACAAATAACATAGAATTTTAAAAGAAAAATCCAATGGTTCACCTTTTATTAATGTACTAAATTATATCTTAATTAAATTTTGATAATAATTAATTTTAGTCTTGCATATTTCAATTATTTTGTTACATAATTCTAAACATAAAATTTAAGCCTTCTTTTCTAACAAAAAAGTAGTGAAATATTACTACATATTATTTTCCCTTCAGTCTTGTAGGCGTATTCCTAAGTGGATATATTCGTTTTTACCTGTTGAATCTGTTGCACCTGTGTTTTTACATGTGTGTTTGTGAACACACACAAAGAACATTATGTATTTTTTATTCCTGTTAAGTGCAATCTGTGCGCTCGGCTATTTTCTATGTGTGCTCAGCAGGGATTCTCAAAATTCAATGCAAATCTTGAAAGTGCTTTGAGTACCATTCTTTTAGAAAAATTTAAGAGTGACTCAAGTGAAATATAAGTGTGTACTCAATGTTGTTATGAAAATTCATTTATAAATTAAAATAAATTAATCATCATTTTATAGAATTGGTTCCTTGTTAACATTATTCTGCAGTAACAATTTAAAAAAAATAACAAAAAGCAAAAATTAACATCTACCTTTGAAAAAATGCAAAATATTTGTCAGTAACATCACTGTCCTTCTTTAAATATAATTATTGATAATTTATTTCCTTTAAATCTTTCGAAAATGACTCTAGTTTAAAGCCATCCGAGAGTAATTTGAACATAGCAAAAATGATTGTCTTTATCAGCTAATTAAATCTTAATAAAACCTTCTTTGGTGATTGAAGTTTGACTATTTAAGGAATATTTATGACTAAATACTTTTTAGATATATTCATCAGTGCATTTTTCTAAAATCGTTGCAGTTGAAAAACCTTGCTATTGTATTTTCCAAAATGTATTGACTTTAAATAACTTTGATATTATGAACATGTTTGCAATTGAAAACTGTCCTTTTTGGTCATTACTGAAGGAAAAATTATCACCATGGTTAGATATAGACACACATTGGATTGTCATCCAATAAAAATATATTAAAAATCGAATAGGAATTGGATTATCTTTTAATAGGCTATCATTAGCGATTATAACAACAGCTTATATAATGCCGAATTTTGACTTCTATTCTAACAAAAACAATCTTTAATGTAATTACAATTATGCAAACATTTACCACTTGATGCTTTACGTTTTTGCAACCAAAACGAATTTCTGTTACAATATTTCACAAACGCTTCAAATTCGTGCAAATCACATTTTTTAATAGTCTAAATTTTATCAGATTATTTATACGGTGTAACTTCATTAGATAAATTTGGTTTTAACATAATTAAATTAAACTTAATTCTATCTAAATAAATACTTTATCATTATGATTTATGTAAAATTAATCTTTAAATTTTGAAAGGTTCTTCAGTTACATCATTGTTTTGATGAAAAAAAGAAATCTGATTGTTTAGACTATTTTGATGGTATTAACTATTTATATACGTGAAGTTTTGTTATTAATTAATAAAGAAGATTTAAAAATATTTTATAAAAACGGGCGGTAAGCATCTGTGATTCCAATCACAATGTCTCGGATTGAATTCTACATTTTGGACTTTCTGATATCAAGTAGTAGTGACATTTATTTTTACTAATTATTATACCCTATATATGTATGTTTTCGTGTTCCAACACACTTAGAAAAGGACAACCATTGAGTTGCTTTCCTGTAAACAAATATGATCATTATCTAACTAGTGAACTGTGATTAACAAGTATAATCGTCATGGAGCAGATGCTGATTTTTCTTTATTGTCTAGTATACTTGTCATACATATTAAACTTTGACTATTACTTATTTTATTTAGATAACAATTTCTGAAAAAAAAACATTTTCAAATTTCAAAGTACTAAAATTTTATGTATTGATGAGTATACTCGTTATGTGTTTAAATTATTGATCTTATTGATCATTATATATCTATATACTATATAGATTGCAAATATTAAAAAAAAACATCTCAAATTGCAAGATATATTATTTAGAATATTTTGAAGCTATGGAACAATAAAATAAACCAACATAAAAACACTATTTTTGGTTTTTGAAATAATAGGAAATCTTATGATCAGTGCTGGATTTACAGTAGGTGCAGTCTGGGCTAGTGCCCAGGGCGGCAAATTTTCTGGGGCGACAAAATTTGGAAAGTGAGAAAAAAAATCTATTCAATATAATTAACTAATTCTTCTTAATATTTTGTATTTCAAAAAATATAATTAATAAAACATAATACGATTGTAATTTTGATTTTTCGACGTTTTAAGCCATTCTGAATCGAACGACACCAAAATGTATGAAAAGTATGTACATGTTTATGTATTATTGACCTTTCTTCGACGTTTTCTCAAAAACTCTCAAAAAACGGACCGATGTAAAAAATTTAAAAGTTATTCAATGTAATTATCGTTTCTTATTATATCTTACTGTAATAATTTAAATGTGCCCTTAAAAATTAAAATCTTAATTTCGGTTAATCAAGTCAATTATTAAAAGTTTCGGGAAGTTCATGCAACTTGCCTTAAGGCAAAATGTCACTTTCAGTAAGTTTGTTATATTATTATAGTATGTAATGCGTAATAAATTTTCTGCAAACTTTTAGATAATTATTTTAATTTTACAAATATGAGACATAAAAACTATTTAAGTGAAATTTCAAGGATTGGGGCGGCATTTTCGTCAGTGCCCCAGGGCGCCAAATATCTGAATCCGGCCCTGGTTGTGATTTAATTCAATTTGTCAATTAATTACATGTATAATAAATCATAAAAAATGATTTGAATCATTTCATGAATTCCACGCTTCTTCGTATTACATTTGAGAAGTTATGGTTTCCATAATGTTTTGAGGTTTTCGTGTTTAGTATAATCTCCTGCACACTATCATGGTGGATGCATAAAAGTTTCCAATGTTGGTGTGTTAATATTTAATTTATCCCGTACGATGTGATTTACTGCCAGAATTGTGAAGAAATGTTTGTTATATGGCGATTTTAATGACTTCTTGAAATAAATTTATAGGAAAATATAGATTTTTATTAGTTAACATTGACCAGGTTATCACGGTGTAGATGTGTATAATTTTGAAGTTTTTATGGAATAATAAAACAATTGGATAGAAATTATGACTTTATTAAAGCTAAGTAAACATTATTTATTGTTGATTAATACATTTTTCATATGCAATTGCGTTGATACAATTTATTATAAATAATATTCATTAATTGAATATAAAAAAATCTGTTCAGTGAAGAATTAATAGACATATTAATATTCAATTACATTTACTCCGTGTAAATGATTTCTAAATGGTGCTGTATATTATATCATAATTAATTACACTTAATTTGTTCCATAATATCAATAAAAAAACTAGTGATTTATCGCCTTGGACGTAAAATTGAGTTTAAAATAAAAAACGAAACCGTTACGTATCTGTTTTTTCTATGAGAATATTGTTCAGTATTATATTGCCAAATTAATAGAAATGTATTTTTAAATTATATTTGTAGGATGTAAACTGATGATTTTTTATCGATTTTATGCGACATTTTGTCAATCATTATTTCATGGGACAGTAAATTTTTCTAATAATTTTTATTATCAAGTTTTGTAGTTAACTTAATTTTAGAATGAATAGAACATCATTTTTGATCAATTCGACAGAGATATATGAGAAAGGTAAAATAAATAGCAATATATAATAAATAGCATTATCAAAACGTTAATCGTTTTATTTAAATATTTTAATTTTGATTTGTATTTTATTTAAAAAAAGCTACGGCTACAAGTTACATATGATGTTCGGACGTATTTTCATTTTATTACATTGGCCATGAAGGTGACAATCTTCATGGCATTGAGATTTTACACGGGATGGTTGCTACCCCTGGTAGAGGAGGTAGCCGATAGTTGTTGGGACTAATTGTACACTTCTAAAAGTAAAGTCTGCGAAATAACATGTTTAATAAATAATAAATAAATATATCTTCTTTCATTATAACTTAGTGACAAATCAGTGATAA